GTTTTCATGTCAAATATTTATGGTGTTTTTTCAACTTGATCAGGTAATGGATGAGGCTGATAGGATACTGAATATGGACTTTGAAGTAGAGGTACAGTGTTCACTAAGACTTGTTTTGTTGGTCACTGTAAAATGTGTATTATCTTAAGAAATTCATTCTGATGATCTTTCGAGTAGTTTGCTCAGTGATTTTCAGGGAATGCAATTACAATACAATGTATCTACACTTAAATTAAATCATTAACTTGTTTTTAAATTTCTTAAAAATGTCAAAAAATAGGATATTTGTATTTAGTAAGAAGGAATAAATTAAAAAGACAAAAGAAGATCACTGAGGCTGAACGCTTTCTTTTGTCTTGTTTTAATTTATTCCTTTTTACTAAATTCGAATGTTCTATTTTCTATGACAACGTTTCTGCAAGTAGGTGTATCAACTGACCACTTTACTATATACATATGTAGATGATATTATTGTCAAAACTTCATAGTTTGGTTTGTTTGTTTTGTTCAAGATAATAAAATTTCTAATATTTGTGTTTGCTGTACCATACTCCAGGTCAATAAAATATTAAAAGTTATTCCAAAGGAAAGAAGAACATCTTTATTTTCTGCCACAATGACAAAAAAGGTAAAAGAAGTCATCATGAAAAGAACTGACAAAATATGACACTGGGACATTAAAGACCCAGTGTGCACAATTATGCTTTGGGGCCCCCGAGGGCCTGGCGGCAGCCATTTTCAGTTTATCGTAAGTCTATAAATTGTACTGTGCTTTTTGAATCCATATCTTGGGCATCTCACTTTTCTAAGCACTTTAAACGATAATACAATGTATTGGAGTTTTCAACCATCGGACATTAGTTTTGTGGTGATATTTGGATACTAGAAGTATGCGATGCAAATCATAACAATAACAGAGGAGCACGAAGCATAATGGTGCACACTGGGCCTTTAACAATACTGCCTTATTTTGTTAACATAATGGCCATTATAAACACTTGCAAATGTATTTTCTGTGTCTATTTTTAAGATTGCTTTCATATTTTCTAGTGTAATTGTATGTACAGCTGTATTCATAAGATATTGTATTTTCTTTTCAGGTCCAAAAATTACAAAGAGCATCATTACAAAATCCTGTCAAAGTTGAAGTTGCCACAAAGTATGTCTGAAATAATGGTATCAAAATATGCCATAGACTTTTGTCCTCCAAACGTTTGAAATAACATGCCTTACAGTATTTGAACTTTCTGTTAATTTTTTTGAACTTTGGTTTTTGAACTTTGTCATCCAGGTATCAAACTGTTGAAAAACTGCAGCAAAGTTATTTATTCATTCCATCAAAATTTAAGGTTAGCATAAAGTCCCTTTAAACAATTATGAAATTATTAAAGCAATATTTGGATGAAAAATTTTATTTTACAACTAAGTGCCTTTATTTGTGTTAGTAGCCCAATTAAAGAAATGTTTATGAAAGACCTCTGTAATTGTTTTTCTTAATTTTGTCAGGATTGCTATCTAGTATATGTGCTTAATGAACTAGCTGGTAATTCATTCATGGTATTCTGTGGGACATGCAACAATGTACAAAGGTATTTTAAACTTGAACTTTTAAACATGAGACATGTACAGTGTAAGGCATAGGCTGTCCTCTTTAACCTACATACCATTCAGTCACTCATATTCCAATGACATACAACACTCTCCCCCCCCCTCCCCCCCAAGAAAACAGCAGTGATTGATGGTACAAATAATCATCATTTGACATTGATTTGTGTAAAATTTTGTACCCATATGAATGTCAATTATTGATCTCTGACAATCACTACTAAAGCCCACTGGATTATGAGAATGAGTTTATTACATTATGGCATAATTTTACAATGTGCATGTTGTTCTTTTACCCCAGATCATTCTCAGTTTTCCAACAGAACAACAAAGGCTTTGGTTGGAGATGATACCAGAAGACCCAGATCCTGGGTTGTACAATGTTTGAACCAATCAAAGAAAATACTCATTTGTCTCCAGACAGAGCCTTCAATTTGATGTTTGGAAACTGAGTAGTATTGGGTACAAAAATGTGTGTATGTTGGATATACAATTGTATTCATGTACTGTGTCTTAAATGATATTGAATCTTTGTGTTCAGAGTGACTATTATGATTAGAAACTTGGGATTACATGCAGTTCCTCTTCACGGACAGATGTCACAGGTAAAAATTAAAGAATATAGTGCAGTAAAAAAACACAATTCTTTAACTTATGTTTGATGCAAATGAAGTGAATATTCTACTGTAATTCGTTTTCATTCACAACCAAGATTTCTCTGATTTATATCATTGCTATTAATGCATTAATGATTATTTATGACTATTGTTTTTATAGTCCAAACGTCTTGGCGCTTTGAACAAGTTCAAGTCTAAAAGCCGGTCAATTCTTGTTGCTACTGATGTCGCCAGTCGTGGCTTGGACATACCCCATGTTGATGTTGTTATTAACTTTGATATCCCCACTCACTCAAAAGTAAGTCAAACAAGAAACATATGTACACCTCTAGCCTCACTCACAGCCTGTCTTGTATCACAGGAAGCCCAAAAAGATTAGGCTGCAAAGGAGACTACATCCCAGTTTAAAATTGGTATTAATGGACACTTAATATGTTTATAGGATTATATTCATAGAGTAGGACGAACAGCCCGTGCAGGACGGTCAGGACGATCAATAACCTTCGTTACTCAGTAAGTCAAGAATTTTACTAGTCTCAAACCAACTCGAGTTTTCTGCTGAACACCAGCTCTGAATATCTTCCCTTCTTAAATTAATGTGGATTCTATTTGTTATTTTTCATTTCTTGATACATAAACACCATACCTCTGGCTTTTCTTTATAGATATGATGTTGAGTTATTCCAAAGAATAGAGCAGCTTATTGGTAAAAAACTACCACTCTATCCAACCGTCGAAGAAGAAGTCATGTTATTGAACGAGAGAGTTACAGAAGCACAACGATTTGCCAGAATGGTAATGATAAATAGTAGAAATGGCTGATAAATCTTTCTATATATGTCAACAAAGTAATGTGAGTCATTTTTAACAGGAACTTCGAGAAATAGCAGAAAAGAAGAAGAGGCCAGCAGAAGACGACCTTGAAGACGAAAACGTCAAAATTCCCGCTAAAAAGAAGATGGTTAAAGGCGGGAAGAAGAAGAAAGGAAGGCGAAAATGAAGAACCAAACCCTGCACTCAACAGACACGCCTTGTACACCCAGTGAATATTTTGCTTATTGAAACAGGCAAGGCGATGGACGCTAACTGGACGGAAGGCTTCTGTAACCCTCTAAAAGATGAAAATTGCCGACGCTGACGATGTACACAYGAATTGTTATATCAATATTTACAGAAATGTCACTAGAGTGATCGCACTTAATCCGTGCAACTGTACAACCTAAATAGTTCCATTTAGTTGKATTTAGTAAATCGAGCATGCGGTACGCAAATTAAATTGAATTGATACAAATGAAGCATTCAATACMGTCTTGTTTCAGGTCCACTTTTAGTACAAATTAGTACTACTTAGATTTTGTACAGTTGCACGGATCAAGTGCGTTCACTCTATCTAATTCTTTGAAACATTTAATAAATAAAATTACATAGGACATGGTAAATTTTGAGCAGAGAAACTAGCTCCTCTAGCAGTCAGAATTACTCGATGTTGTTTGAAATAGTCACTAGGCGYTTGAAATTTTGATTTAAAAGTATTCTTGCGCGAGATTTGAGAGTTTAGTATTGCACTAGACTTGCCATAAGATTTTGACGCACACGAAATAAATAGGAAATTTCGAGAATAGAGTGAAATATTGAAAAAAAAAAAAAAAGCTTTAAGCGAGCGCAGTGCGTCGGGGGCTAAAAGGGACTTGGTGAAAGTTACAGTGCTTGGAATCTTGTACTTTCATTGCATGAGTGAAAGGATTTTTATGTACAATTTGTAAAAGTAAATTTCTTTCGAGCAACTAGAAAAAAACAAAGACCGTATGTTGCCATGGATTCATATTATTTAATTATCATTCTTTCATTTTATTACAATAATTCGTTCGGCCATCGGTTATGGGGACATTTTCAGTGTGTTATCGRTGGTCTTATTTAGGCTTCGGGCCTGGTTTACGCCTCTTGGTATTTCTTGGACGTTCGTTGGGACGTTCCACCAGTACCCACCAGTTGCGCGTTGCAATTTCTCTACCATTGAAGCCGAAGTAAGCCTTACGATAACGATAGGACACTTTGCCGGGGATCATGTGGCCATCTGGGTGAAGGAACCTCGCCACGTATAACTTTCCAACTGTAAAATTCCATCAATAATTTTTCATTAGTAAATAGTCATAAACKCCCATTGATAGAACGATCAACAATGCATTCCGGTCTTGGACTACAGTAYTTTCATGCAGTATTGCAACGTTTTCATAAATAACCGAAGCCATTTATCGTTAACAGTATATGACTGTGCTCACCTAGTCTCTCAGAACCCCCCTCAACAGCACCTTGTGGCGGCTTGCCATGATAGAAACCACTCTTCATCCATCTCAAATAGGACTTCCATCCATTGTTTGYAAGAATATCGTAACATTTTTGACTGTACTCTTTTCCGCCCCATGATGCGTGCGCCACTTTGCTCGACACGTCCATTTTTCCAGGAGTAAGRCTGTTACCGATTTTAATTCGTGCGACGTAGAGAACCTTCAAAAATGGCATTAGAAAACAATTGTAGACTTCCATTTTTTTAATTACTGGACTTAAATTGTACGTATTAACTTCTACATTATTTATCTTTATGCATGTTTGTCATCGATGCATTTACTGGCCTTTACAACTAGAATAACATGGGCACGCATAAAATATTATAGTTCAGTTTTCTTTTAAGAACGAGATTTATGCCTTCATCTAGTTTATAAGAGATAAATATCAGAACTAAAGAAACAAAGCGAGAAATGAAGTGAGAACTTTGCTCTAGTATGCATATAATTGACTCGCCTCTCCTGGGTAGTCTTCTCCTCCGGCCACAGGGTTTTCTGGGATATTTCCATTGCATTTTGTGACCCATTTTAAGTTGGAAGCCCTAAACTAGTTGAATAAAACAATTTATATAGTCATTGAATCAAAGAGCCTCTGCCCTATAAGAGCTACATTGCGAAGTTTAACATGGTTTAAGTTCGCAATTCGTAGAATGAGGAGTGTTCGTATAAATCTTAAAAGTTAACTTACTTGCGAATTCGAAGTTTTCGCCAAGAGCACTGCCAGCAAAATTGGCAAAGTCGTCGTCCACAGTGTCATTTCTAAAATTGAAAATACTTAGTAATWTATGAAGATATGSGTCAGCATTTTTCTTTGAATGAAACTGATAAGCATGTCTTGGTCTAAGTTCTTTACTTACCACTCAGCAAAGATTAGAGTATTTCTTCTACTTCAAGCACAAGATCAATAATGGTAGCTCATGTGTACCAACCCTACCGACTGTGACTTTTATACCCATCTGAAAACAAAACGCAATTAATCGAAAAAAAAACTACCTGCATGAAATGATGCTCTCTAAATCGTCACATGCATAAGCAACGGTTATATAATCTTTCTTTTCATCGAGATGGATTTGAAAAGGAGTGGTGCCGCTAGTGATTGCGTTGCATTGTTGGATCAATACAACTAAATCAACCAAGACCTGAGCCGGTTGAACGGGCTGATTTCGTTTGTTTTGTGTGACCCTCTGGGAAAAGAAGACAAAAGCAAACAACCCGTTCAAACACTCAGGCTAGCCCACTTCATATCATCACGCCCTCAGTACCTCTAGCTTCTAGCTCCACTCAAATATACGAATTAATGCTAGTAGTTCCATTATTTATTCAAAATGTTGAAGTTTCATTTCCATTGACTTCATGCTCATGAAGTGAGTTGCCGTTAAGATTTATGTTTCTTTATGCAGTTTACGCACATAAAAGGAAAAAAATTATAATATTTGATTAATGAGAACAAACGCTCGCTAAATTCGAGCGTGGAATCTATTTTTGAATTTGTGTTCCAAAAGGAACYGTCAAACAAATCATATCGCTAAACATGGAAATGTTGATAACCTCACAAATAATGCACATTACGTATGCGAATTGTCTTTTTTTTTTCTTTTCATTTATTTGTTTTATTGTCATCAAACTTGCGGTATAATTCAGTGTGTTGCGGTTCCCGAAGTGTCTGCAGTGCTTACACTACAGCGGTTACCCCAAGTAACCGGAAAACATGTTTCCAGTGGTCACGCAACGTGTTATCAAGTATAAAGTGAAATGTTCTGTCAAATATTCTACTATGAATAAGAGATGAAAGCTGTTTAAAGACGACATAAATAGTTATATAACATCCTCTTGTTACCTCGAACAACCGCTCATCCGAATGACTTACATGTAATATTTGTACAGAGTTGGCAGTTACAAGAAGTCATATTACGCGGTTTACTCGACACCAGGTACTTTATCCTTATAGCTTATTAGTGATATCTAAGCAATTAGTAATCATAGCCAATCTTGACTATGTAGATCTCGATCTTAAGGTCAAAAACTTCTGTTAAACACTTATACAAGCATGTAGACATTTCTGTTGCGCTTCAGTGCTTTTAATGAGTCATCAAGGACTTCAAACTAAATATACACACATTTCATGTATCATGGTGATAGTTTTGGGATCAGAAATAAGCGCAATATTTAGTTTATGGAATCAAACATTAGGATCACAATATTTATCTCATGTCATGGGATCAGATATAAGGATATCATACAGCATTTGGGATCAAATTGAGATCACTAGGGAGAGATTAACATGTGTAGCCTGGGTCATAAAGTTCAAACATCACTCAACTTTAGAACAAGGAACTCATGTTCGATATTCATATATTTGTCTTTACGACACTGGAAAAAATCTCGCATTTTAAAAGGTAAATTTGATGTAAATATGATGTAAGTGGAATTAATTAATTAATTAATTAATCATCGAAATATGTTTTCGCATAGGTCGCAAAAGGTAGGGAGGCCATAATCCCCGTAGCGCCCCGTCTCCGATTATATACATAGTGTTTTCAACCGACAACTTTTTTTATAGGTAAACCATAATGTCGGATTATATAGAACTGAGAGARCGACTCGATAAACGGTATTCTCAGGAYGMTACCTTTGACGAGGTGATYATAAAACAACCTCGAAAAACACGTGAAGAAGCGAAATCTCTAGTCCAGGTACTTGAACATTCAATAAAAGTTTCTTGCATGCTTGTAAACGTCTTTAGTTTGAGCGGGGTCTGAGTTTCAATGCATGATGTCGTTCTGTTGCAGCAAGAGATTGAGCCAGTGGAGCATCGTCGTCGTAGACGCACAGTGAGTTTTTCATCTTTTCTCTTAAGAAAGAAACTCTTCATATKTCAATTTAATCGTTTTGTTTTTTAGTTGTCTGATGGTCATGACCGTCGATTAAAAGAACGGAGGGTATGTAGTTTGGTACAATGGAACCTCGCCTTACGCCTCACCCGCTTAATACGGCCACTCTGTTATAACGGGCGGATTTTTATGTTGCGGCGAATGAAGCCCTCATTTTTTTTCTGACCGATAAAAAGGTTGGTCACTTCTCGATGGCCGAATTAACGGGTTTGCTCTGTACAGTAGTTTGAATTTCCACTTTTTCTGTTCCTTTTTAAAGAGCAAACCCGTTAATTCGGCCATCGAGAAAAACATTCCATTTAACCAACCGTGAACTCTACCCATCCGTTTATCTATGTATTTAGTCATTACATTATATTATATTAGGAGAGAGAAAGGCGAAGACTTAAACAATTGGTAAGTTGATTTTATCAATGACATTTAATAAAGAAAATAGATAGAGCACAGATAGAGAGTAACACTATCAAACTGCAACCTAGAAATTGATGATAAACTGTCATCTTCTTTACATGTAGGAAGAAGATGAGATCCGAAGAAGGGTAAGTCGAGATCTCCTGAATGAGAGATTTGACCATATTAAATAAACATATCCGTTCTCTTTGTTTTTTTTAGGGGAGGAGAAAGAAGCAAAGGATGGTAAGTTTAACTTTGTGTTATTAGAGAATCAAGACAATTTTATTAGTCAATCAAAATACATCTTCTMGTRASTAAAGGTCCATGATCAACCGGMMTCCCTTTCGAGCTTCGATATATAGTTTAAAATGTTATGGTTACAAAGTTATGCAGTGAGATATGATTACCTTTTCTGTATACTTCTTCATATCATACTCCGCCTCAAACAATAATRTTCATGCATTTGAATTTTTATAGCAACGAGCGAAAAACGCTGGAMAAAAGGTAATTGACATTGTGTGATATAATGATAATAATAAGTTGAAGAATTCACCATGATGATATAGTGATAATAATAATTGGAATATTAATGATCAGTTTGTTCTTGTTTCACCAAGGCTATTTATGACGCTCAGTCCAAAGAAGGTTAGTATATTTGTTCTTTACCTATTCACCTATTGACCTTTTTTGTCATCATATCTATATTCATTTAATGCGGTTTGGCCGTGAAAAGTAGACGGGTTTTCATAAACCCATGAGACGCAGCTCTTTATTTCGCACCTTTTTCTTTGTCTTGTCGTTGCATTAAACTTAATAGTGTCCTTCACGGGTTCCCTGTGTCATGCTCGGTAGCCGAGCCTTGGCATCGAAGTGAGACGACCGTTGGTCGTGCATACCTGTGATCATTGTCTTTACTGTACGTATACGTAATGCTTTCAATTAATACATTGCGCTAGTTATCGCGCTGCCCCGGCTATCTAAAAATATGAATATTCTTGGAAGTTAGGACGATTTTATACAATTTCTTAAGTACTATACTGCTTAAATATTGTGTGTATGTTTGTTTGTTTGTTTTTGTTTTGTTTTTTCTTTGTAGAAAAGGAAGTCAACAGGCTGAATGAGTTGGAGAGGAAAGGTGCACTCGCTATGATACTATATAAAAAATAATATTATAACTGAATTTTTTCTCGTTTTTGTTTTTCTTTTTTTATTCTCTTAAATTTCTGCATGTTCCGTAACATCTTTGTTGCYTATATATGAAAGAGTTTGAGAGTGAAATGGACAAAGTACTGGCCAATGGAGATCTGGATGACATATCAGAGATGATTACGGCACACAATCTGACAAAGTGTAAWACCAATAGTCTGGAGAAAGCTTTAGAGGTATGAGCATGTAATTGAAAGATAACAGATTTGATTTATTGTATAATATAGAAACGCGAAATATGTACTACGGGGCTGTTGGCATATTCACCTTAGCAGTAGCCTCCCCCGCAGGCTCTGTCTCTTAACTTTCCGCTCTCCTTTTCTCTCTTGGCATGTCTTTGGTTTCCTGTTTTCCTAGATATTACTGACGGAGACTGATGTCCCAGTAGCGTCCGCCCAAGATACTAGAGGRATCCCAAAGGCTAAAATAAAGTGTTGCCTGCGAAGGTGGCATGTAAATTGCGCACAGCCCTGTCAACTTCAAATAGCATGCGAGATCAATCATTCGTCCTCATAGGATTATTTAAAATTGACAGCTGTTGTATTTTCAGGTTAGTTATAAGCTCAAGAACTTGGCAGACTCCAATTATCCCGATGCTGACGATTTTCGYTCTCTCGCGAAAAAAGTGGAAGACTTCTCTATTGAACTCCTTGAGCCCCTTAAAGGCGATGATATGAAAAGAGCCATATTTGAAGGACAAGATTTCGATCGTATTGCGGAAAAAKCCGTCTTGTTCCGTCAGAAAAAGGTGAATAATTTGCCGTCAGGGCTTCTCTTGCTCGCTGTCTCGATGAAGCAAGGACAAAGATGGTTTTGAGCCTGCATTTTAGCACTAAATGCAGCAAGACGGATGCAAATTATGATGCAAATCATTTCTTGTAGGTGCTGGGTCATTCGTTCAAGGTTTTGTTCGTATGTTCATAAAATTGTTTCTGTTGTTTTTTGTTATAGTTTATATCACATCCAGTAGTGTTCAATCTGTTGATGAAGCGTTGGAGAGGAGTGTTCGACACAAAGTCTTTAGCGTGGCCTTTTCTACAGCTATGGGCTATCTTTGACTTCATGTTCTTTCCTCTGGTCTTCGTTGTTTTGTATATGATTAAATTGATCGTAGAGTTGACCAAAAAAGGTAATTAGTAGATTTTTTTTGATTCAAAGTATTTCTAGTGAATATGTTTGTGTGTATAGTAATTGTGGTACAGTGTGATGATGATGACAATGAATGATGATAACGAAATGATAATGATGATGATAACGAAAATGTTGATATAACCTATTAATTTTAATGAAGTTATGAGGCTTTGCAGGAGCCTTTGCCTGTTTAATCGAAGCAGGGATGTTTAAAATGAGACCACATCTACGATATAATAGCAACGAAATCGTTGTTTCCTGGTCCAGWCTTACATAATATTAAAGTGTGTTTGTCTTCACCSTGTCGCTTTTTATCTCTAAATGGCGTACTTCACATCAATAGTTTAAAAATGTTATGTTATTTTCAGAATGCCACGCAGTTGTGATAATGAGTCCCTGTAACATGGACAGCATGGATGACATGCAAGATCTTACTAGTGCGTGCTTTGCTATTTTACGACCTCCRCACACCACTCATATCTTAGATAAAGATAAAATTGAACTTCACTCCAACAATATCGGACAACAATCAAGTGAGAGTTCCTTGATGGGCTGTCTAAAGTCAGCAAGGAAGAAATTTACCCAACTAGAGAGAGCTATACGTAAACCTACAGATAAGGTATGTTTAGTGATTGGAATATTGTTGATAGCGATAGCTGGCTGGCTTGATGCATTTTCCATTTATTTAAATGGATTTTTCATTGTATTTGGTAGTTGCTAATTGTAATGACAGATGACAAAGTCGACGCATCTCTTCGCACATTAACAAAAGAGGCTGCACGAATCAAGAACGACCGTGTCAGAGTCGTCTCTGTTGGCTTTGGAGTTCATCCAGATATCAAGGAACTCGAAGCCATGGCAACAACACAGCAAAATGTTTTCCTTTACCATGGGAACATCAAGTTAGGCGCCATTGTACAAAACATGCTTGAAAGTGAGTTTGATTAAACTGTTATAAGATAACAAAAAAGCRAAAACAAACCAAATAACACACCCTTATTGATAAACCATATATCATACCAACCATCCAATCCGCCATATCATCCACTGCCAGTGAAAGATAAAAAAAAGCAGCTGAACCGAATAGTGAACCAGCCAACCGACCTACCGAACGACCGACCCACTGACCAACCGACCAACGAATGAACCGACTGACCAAACAACCGACTAACCAACCAAAACAGCAAACCAAATACCCATCCAAATCACCATTTCATCAGTTACTAGGCTATACCCTGATTTTGCCTTCTTGTATAGGTTTGCGGGGAAAAAGTCTTTTGGGTAAGTTCGTTATATCCGTAGAATTTCTACAATACACCTTTTCAGTTGCACTTAGGTCTCGATAGCAAGTTAATTATTCTTTTCAATTTGACAAATGAGACTATTCATATCGATCAATGTTTGCGTTGCTGACATTCCTACAAATTCAAAAGAATATTKAACACGCTGTCGAGGCCTAAGAGCAACTGAAAAGGTGTATTGTACAATTATATCGTTTGTTTGTGAATTCGTTTATTTGTTACTTTAATATTTCCTTGAAAATGGCGCGGTTTGTTAGACAGATATGTGTATCATCGACGAATCACTAAATCAGCAACTCGGCTACGGCTCGTTTCTTCGACTCATTTTTTATCAATCAATAGCCGACTTGCGAATTACGCATCAATAGTCACATACAAAGGAATCAAGACGAGGCGCCGTGCTAAAGACAGTAGATTTTTCACAAAAAAGCACGGCGCCTCGTCTTGATTCCTTTGTATGTGACTATTGATGCGTAATTCGCAAGTCGGCTATTGATTGATAAAAAATGAGTCGAAGAAACGAGCCGTAGCCGAGTTGCTGATTTAGTGATTCGTCGATGATACACATATCTGTCTAACAAACCGCGCCATTTTCAAGGAAATATTAAAGTAACAAATAAACGAATTCACAAACAAACGATATAATTGTACAATACACCTTTTCAGTTGCTCTTAGGCCTCGACAGCGTGTT